TATTTTTTCCCCATTACCTGTGCGCCCTTCCCTGCCTCCACCCTTCCGTATTTACGTAGACTTTGTTTCCATTTTTTTCTTTTCTCATGATTTTTTCTTTCCCTTCTTTCCTTTCTCCTTCTCTTCCCACTTCCCCTACCCCTTTGAGCCTTTTCTTCCTATTTCAAATTATCAATTATTCATTTTAATCCTTATTTACACTTTCAGTTTCTCACACTAGAAAAACTATTCGGTATTTACACATGTGTGTCCTGTTTATTTCACTTAAGAGTATGGTCTCAATGTGCATCCATTTAGGTATAAATGTCTCTAGTTTCTCATTCTTTATGGCTGAGTAGTACTCCATTTTATAAAAAAACAAACAAACCACATCTTCTTTATCCAGTTTCCAGTTGGTGGGCACTTGGGCTGTTTTGAAGCTTTAGCTATTACAAACTGTGTCGCTATAAACATGGGTGCACATATATCGCTGTGGTATGATTCTTTTAATTCTTTTGGGAAGATCCCCAGCAGAGGAATAGCTGGGTCGAATGGGACCTCTAAGCCTAGTTCTTTGAGGTATCTCCATACTGATTTCCACAGTGGTTGCACCAGTCTGCACTCCCACCAACAATGGAGAAGGGTTCCTTTCTCCCCACAGCCCACAGTTTGGCAATTTCTTTCTTTTTTTTTTGGTACTGGGGATTGAACTCATGTCCTTAGCTTGCAAGGCAGGCGGTGGAACCACTGAGCTATCCCCGGCCCGTTTGGTAATTTCTTATAAAGTTAAACATACACCTACTATACGGTCAGCAAAAACCTGCATGTGAAAGTTTATAGTAGCTTTGTTCTTAAGTGCTAAAAACTAGAAAAAACTAAGATGTCCTTCCCTAGTGAAAGGATAAACTGGTGCCTCTATAACATGGGATAATATTCAGCGGTACAAAGAAAGAAGTATTGGGCCGGGGATGTAGCTCAGTGGTTCCGGCGTCTGCCACGCAAGCGCAAGGTTCTGAGTTCGATCCCCAGTACCAAAAGAAAAAAAAAAAGAAAGAAGTATTGACACATCCAATGACATGGATGAAACCCAAATGCCTTATACTCAATGACAGAAGTCAGACCCAAATGCTGCTCACTATATAATTCCAATTGTACAACTCTCTGGAAAAGGTAAACCCATGAAGATGGACAGCAGATCAAAGGCTGACAAGTTAGGGATGGGGAGAGGAGCTGACTACAAAAAGGCCTCATAGTATGAGGAAATTTGGGGGTGATGGAGTCACTCTGTCTTGACTGTGGTGATTAAACACATGCATTTGTTCATACACCTAACCACGCAACAGAAAGAGTACATTTTATTGGATTACATTAAAAAATAAATTTCAGGCTGGGGATTTAGCTCAATGGTTTTGCTGCCTGCTGCGCAAGCGCAAGGACCCGAGTTCGATCCCCAGTACCAAAAAAAATAAATAAATAAAAATAAATTTCAAAAATGAAGTAAGCTCATTCAGATGTTGGCCCGGGGATTTAGCTCAGTGGTTCCGGCACCTGCCTCGCAAGCGCAAGGTCCCAAGTTCGATCCCCGGCACACACACACAAAAAAAGTGAACATTAAAAATGAAGGCAAAGCAGTTTCACTATACTTTTTAAAAGAAATCTATACCAGAATCAAGAATTTGAAAAAAAAGGTTTAAAAATTCTATATAAGAAAAAAGAAACAGCAAAATAATTCTGGTCATCAAATTCACAGGACACTCTACACGTGTAACCCTGGCCTTAAAAGATAATTATTATTTCCACAGATTCCGTATTTGCTTGGCATCCTTTCATCACAGGATCAGTTATATAAATTATATTTCCGTATTTCTCGTATTCTTGATGCTCTGCCATAGGTGGCCTCAGTGGTGGCCACAGCCCACGCTTGAGAGACAGCCAGGGCTCGGTGGGAGCAAGCCTGCCCTCCACACGCCATGTCCCAGCCAAGGCCTGGCCACTTCTCTATCCAGTGCACACACACAGACGGCACCCACTGCTCTCAACAGCCCAGAGCCCGGCAGATCCCGACACCCAGAGAGCACTCATGCCCTTGCCTCCGAGGAGCTGCTCCCACTGGCCCACCCCAAACTCTCTCCTGCCCCGCCTCACCATTCCTGCAGGAACCCTCCTAAGCAAAGGCTCTGGCTCTGGTCTTGCTCCTGCTTGGGCCTCCTGACCCAAACCCATGGCTCCTCTGTGGGCCCGTAGGGTGTGCTCACTAAATGATTACAGGCTGGAACTCTCAGCCTCACCTGGCGACCTTAGGCGCTCACAGTGGAGATAATGAGCAGCGCAAAAACCTTCTTTCCCAGCCTCACGTGTCCTCCTGCGGCACCATGTCCACGCGCACGTTTCCACATCACTGTTCCACACTGTTTTCTTTTCCGTGTACACGTGTGCTCCTATCCAGAGTGGCCTGAAGCTCTTCTTGCAAGGATATATGCTCTCTTAGTTACAGGCTGTTCTCTCTAGGGATTCTGCAACACTGCCCTGGTGGCTTCACTTTACGGCGCTGGGGAGCAGCAGTGAGGATGGCTGCTTCAGAAGGGCAAAGGGCCTGGCCGGTGTCAGGCACTCACTCTGACGTGAGAAAGGGATCATGTCATGACAGGCTACATCACTGGACTACAGCCATACCCCTGGCCCACCCGATTCTTATGAACTCACCCCTCAATCTACAGAAATAGAATTATGATCTAACTAGAAGTGAGCAGGGAGATGGAACTGTCATTTAGAAGACAAAATGCATTTTGAAATTCAACTCAAACTTGCTAATCTCGGACTCTGAATTCCATGGACCAGCAGAGTTACCAGGAAAGAGCAACCTTGTGTGCAGGTGAAATGTAGCTGTGGGGTAAGCTTGCCTTAGACAACTCCCTACTACATGTGCTCAGGGTTTGGGTGCCTAAGAGAATTTTTTAAAAATTAATTTTAGCCAGGTATGGTGGCGCACGCCTGTACTCCCAACACTCAGGAGGCTGAGGCAGGAGGATCACTGTGTGTTCCAGGCCAGCCTGGGCTACATAGTGAGTCCAAGGCCAGCCTGAACTACACATTGAGACCTTGTCTCAAAAAAACCAATCAATCAACAATGAAAATTTGATTTTAAGTTTAAAATTAAAAGTAGGATAGATAAAGAATCAATATCTACTACCAGAAATAGAAGTAGCTAAAGTAGATGCCCTGTCCCTCCTTAGTGTAGGTTTGGCACATGAAAAGCAAGGCGTAAATCATGTATGCATCTGTACAGACTGATCACTCAGAGAGGCATGTTCCACAGACAACCAGAGGAACACATGTGACATTTAGCCACATGTTCCCTTCAAACTCCAAACCATTTGAGTGGCGAGAAGAAGCGGACTAGTCTTCAATTCCAAAGGGGAAGAAAGTTCATGCAAGCTACAACAGGGCCCTGGCTCCTCAGGAGTCATCATATTTTTCCAAATATCAATTATTACTCAGGTCAAGAAAACTGAGTAAGAAATTCATGGCTCATATTTCCCTCAAACACTCAGTCAAGTATTTTAAAGCAAGTATTTAAAAGAGAATGGGAAATTCATTTTGAGTTTGGTAAATACCCAAAGTGTAAGGAAAAAGTACTTTTAGAAATTTGATTGCTCATACAAAAGGAACTGAAAGAAAGATAATAGGGTTAAAAAAGAGAGGGAGAAAAGTAAGAAAAATCCCTTGTCTGAAACGGCCAGTCTTTACTGATACTGGTTAAATATTCTTTCAAAGCAATTTTAATTAAAGTTGGTTTTTGTTTGTTTTCAACAGATACCATGTGCAGATGGTAATAAACTCAAAAAGAAAAAGAGTCTATCTAAATAGAAAGATTCTTCTCATTCTTACCCAAAGGCCTCCTGTTCTATATCCAGGAGGCAAACACTTTTAACATTGTCTTGTAGGTCTTGTGTCTTCCCTGAGGTGATCTCTTCACAGATAATCACATCTATGCCTCTCTTACTTTATTCAAGTGGTACATACTGGATGTACTGTTCTCCCCTTGCTTTTAGCTCCACTTAAAAACATATCTCAGGTGGGCTGGAATTTAAGGTATCAGGTGTGAACTTGTGATTTCTAGAGCAGACACATAAGTTCATGTGTGTATATATGTACACACATACATGTATATACACACAGAGTGTGTATGTACATCATCACAAGCATGTGCACATGTCTGTGCATACATTTACACCTTCTCTCTGCTGAAAGGCCCTAAAAGCAAAGACACCGAGGTAGGAGAGAACATTCTGCAGCGAGACCATGGGCTCTAATACCACGCAACACCAAAGCAAGCCGGAGGTGCTGAGCAAAACGGCTAATTATAAGGCTGAATCATGGTACGGACAGAGCGAGTTTGGGTCATCACGTAAGGCCAGAAAGCAAGGAAGTACTGAGAAATTGCACGGATACAAGATCTGGCTTGACGGCTCCACTGGCCAACTCTGGGACAGTTTGTGCACCAAAATAATAAAGGACAATAATAAATATAAACTATTGAAAAAACAAAAATCTATAATGAAAATACTGATTTTTTTTTTTGCCCTGCGGTTTTTTTATGTCACGCTCATGTTTTAGAGCCATATTTTCTCTCACCTGCACATCTTAACTTCCACCTTCACTCTCTGTCTAGTCTGAGACGCCGCCCTCAGACTGCTGTAACTCCAGGATCCCTTTTTCCGGGTCACCCCAACCGGAAGCGGTCACTGTCCCCAGTGGCCACAGAATAAAATCCACACACTTTATCCTCCTCCCTAAGCCCTACTCCATGTTTCTTGCCCTTTCTTCCACATGATTATGTACCCAGCAGAAATGCGGCTCCCACAGCCCACACAAAGCGTGCGCTCCCGCTCCCGCTCCCAGGCCTCTGCCCAGGGGTCTCCTCTCCTAGCCCACTGCTCAGCCCCAGCTCCCCAGACCCTGGCTCTGACGGCCTCTCCAGAGACCTGGCCCGTCGGAGACAGAGGAGGAGTGGCGCTTACCGGCACCTTCATCTTGAATTCGTCTCGATAGTACTTGATGCCAAGGTCCGTGAATGTCCTCTGGAGGAAGCGAGATGGACGGAGGATGAAGATGAGCTTCAGGTTTCCCGGAAATGCCGCCTGCAAGCATCACGAGGGGGGTCAGAGTATGCAGAGGATGTCCCTTCCGCTACCAAGGTCTACTTTGCTCTCCTCTTGCCCAAAATCACAAGAGAAAAAGTTAAGCTGGATGCCGTGAATGCCAAAGAATTAGAGTAGATTTCACAGAATTTCAGAACAAAGAGACTTTAGAGTTCAGGTACCAAACCAATAAGCAAAATCATGTTCTTTCTTTCTTCCTTTCCCCTTCCCCTTCCCTTCCCTTTCCTGCTTTTTGAGACAGGGTCTCACTATGTAGCCCAGGAGGCCTTGAACTTGTGGACTACACTACATCCAACTACAACAAGTTGGGTGTGGTTATCTCTAAATCCTATATCCCAAACTAAACTAAAGGGACAAAATCCACATAGCAAGAGAAAGGGTGTCCCTGACCATCCTCAAAATGCAAGCTCCTAAAGGGAAGAGCCATGTGTTTGGTCGTGCTGTGACAGAGTAAGCCTGCTGAGGCTCAACCTGTGCATCTGCTGAGCCCCTAACGTGGCCTGAGAGCAGCGTGGGGGTGCACAGCTGAAAGCAGAGCTGCTTCTGCAAGAGGGCACAGTGGGGCTTCGAATGTTCCCTCCCACCCTAGCTCCTACACACACGTTCCCACCTCACCATTGCCGTCCTCACTGCCGAGAGCCTGCGCTTAGGTAAGAATATTGGGTCCCTGTCCCTGTCCGTGGTGGCCCTGTCTCCCATGTGGCTGAGCTCCTGGGTCTGGGGTCCCAACAGAGGAAGAGCTCATCTGCTCACTGAAAGGCAACTCACAGGGATCAAAAGCACACCAATAAGGAAAAGGAAGCCCATCCAAGGTTATACAATTTGATGCCAAGTGCAAGCGAGCCTCCAACAAACCTACTGAGATAGTGTTTTATCTGATTTTGCCATCATCTTTCTAATATATGAAAAAGTTATTTGAATGCTGAAATAAGGACCGTGTTAAATCAGGTTGTCCACAAAGCAAACATGCAGACAAGGACTTGGGTGCGAGTAGTTTGCTAGGGAGAAGGTTCCAAGCACCACGACAGGGAGAGTGGAGAGGCAGACATCAAGCCAGAGAGAGGTGGGACAGGAGAAGTGGGGGTGACTGCTGCAGGGACGAGGGGCTGAGGCCCCTGAGATTCTGTGTCTGACACCTCAGCACTGTCCCACTGAGGGCTGTGGAAACTGAGGTGATTATGCACCAACTGCCAGAAGGGTGCGGGTTACTCTTGGGCATTAACTTCCCACCCTCCCTGCCTGCCCTCTTCTGTGGCCACAGAGGTCAATAAGGCAAGAGACCCAAGGAGCCCTTGACCCGCTCAGCTGTTGCCTGCAGGATGCCCTTGGGTGACAGAGGGGACATGAACGTGACGTAACAGCACCTGCTACAAAGATCTCCTCAAAATTTGACATCAAATAATTGTCTTTTCCCCAGAACTTTGACAGGAAATAGTTGGGCAGACCATTCAGGTGACTTTAATTACCCTGGCACAAAATACATACAGCTATTCGAATCAAGGATGCCTTTATGGAGCTCCACTTGTCCCTTCGTCTGTCGATGACAATGACAAATCCGATGCTGGCAGCCTCCACGCTGCAAAGAAGGGGAGTCATTGTCAGAGATTAGGCGAGACCCCTGGGTTTGGCCTGGGTCCTCCGGCCTCGCCGCCACCCTCCGGGCTCCTGTGTGACGCCTTCCTCAGCACAGGCGAGCACTGGTCAGATTCCCCAACACAGGCGCCAACTCCCTCTCCCGTCTGGGCTGACAGCCCCGATAGAACAGCGCTTTGTCTCCCAGCCCCTCTCCGGGACTCTGTTTCTGGCTGACAAATGCATGAAACATGGCAGGAGCAGGCTGAGCATCTTGTGTCCCCAGAGTAGGCAGGGGGACACTCAAGGACCTCTGGGCTCAGCTCTGAGCCTTTCTGCTTCCCAAGTGGACATCACAGAGCTATCAGTACCCTTCCCCAGGAGTCAGTCCTAGAGGTGTTCAGAAACGGCACAGGCCGATGGGGAAACAACCCCTTCCAGAGGCTGGCCGCAAACAGCCAACAGAGGCTATGTGAGAAGACCCCATCTTCATCAAGACCCCGCAACACTCTCGCAAAATCTTTGGAAACCAAAGTCCTTAAAGTAAAACCACTTTCCTTGTCTCCGTTGGGGATGGGTGTGATACTGGGGACAGAACGAGGGCTCTGGGGCCTGGCTCAACCTCTAGTGCCGCTACTTCCCAGCAATGGGACAGCAGTGGGACATCGGAGAGATTGCCTAACCTTTCTCAAATGCAGTTTCCTCCTCTGCAAAATCAGAATACTGTCACCAACAGGGAAGTGGTTAAAAAGCTCTCATTCTGAAACCAACTCGACTAGATCTGAATTCTGAATTCTATCATTACATAGTGTGTGTTTTTTCCCTCTAAAATGGAGGAAGTTACTTAGCCTCTATAGGTTAACGCAGAAATAATGAAATACCACGATGAATGTAATTATTATGCACTGCAAACATGTACCAATAAAAATTTTAAAAATTAAAAAATAAGGTTGATGTGAGGATTAAATGAGGGGTGTGTGTGTGTGTGTGTGTAGACATAATACTGTTTAAGTGCTATTATTATTTTTTATGTGGTATCACAGAGGTTAAAAGAGACACAGTACACAAAAAGTAGTTGGCCTGTAGTAAGCCTTCAGTAGCTCTCTAATATTGGGGAAACGTGTTTTATACTCCAAAGTATCCATATGTGAATATGGCAGAAAATCTAAGCAAAATATGAAAGAAAATATAAGTAGCTGGTCTGAATTAAGCATTATTGTGTCAGCTCATTATTACAGAGTCACTGACCAATGCAAGGAAGCAAGAAAAAGTGACCAATCATCAAGACATAAAATAATCAGTACATTCAGACTTAGAGATGTTCCTATCGTTGGTAGAAAAAAAATCTTTGAAATTTTGATCAATATGTTAAAGAAAACAAGAAAATGCAGACAAAATGGATAAAAGATACACAATTTCAAGGGAGAATTAGAACCTATAATCAAGAATAGATGAACCTTCTAAGATTACAGAATACTAATATCTTAAATTAAGAACTCACTGGATTTGTTAATAGATTGACAACAGCAGAAGACAGAATAAGTAAAAATGAAAACAGATTAAAATTGAAACCAAGCAGAAGCACAAAGTGAAAGGGAAATGGAAAGAACGGAAAGGAAGAGGGCTACAGTGTGTGAACTAAAGTCTCCGGAGAGGAGGAAGAAAGTATTGCAGAAACAAAATTTTCAAAAATGGTCAGGAATTTTCCACACTTGAAAGACATCATCAACTCACAGATTCACATAAGATAAAACAAAGGGAACTTTACCAAGTCATATCAGAACCAAACTGGTGAAAATGAGAGATAAGGAGAAAAATCTTAAAAGCAACCAGGGAAAAAAGATGCATGGTCTTCAGAAGAACAACAGCACTACAAAACAACCACTTACGTTCCAACAGAAACCACAGAAGCTATAACCCAATGGAGCAAAGTCTTTAAAGGGCTGACCTGAAAAAACCCAGTTAGAATTCTACAGCCATTGAAAATTCATATTACAAGTGAAGGTGAAATAGGACATCTTCAGTCAACTAGAGTGGGGAGAATTTATTATCCATAGACATATTTTTCAAGAAACACTAACGGATAGTTCCCAGGCTCAGAAAAGTTGCCCGCATGGAAGTGGGAAAGAAATAACCATCTTACAAAGGATGAATACTGGGTACTACGGTTTAGCTGTGTGTTAGGAAGGCTTTCGTTCTTATCAGAAACAATGCAGGCTGGAGATTTAGCTCAGCAGTGCTGTGCCTGCCTTGCCAGCACAAGGTCCTGAGTTTGATCCTTGGTACCAGAAACAACAACAACAACAACAACAACAACAACAAAACAATGCTGGTTATATTAAAAACTTGTGTCTTTCCTTAAATATGTGAGAACCCTGATGACAAACTTAAGTGAACAAATTCCAAAGGGAGTTAAGACCTTTGGTAGTAAGCAACTTCCAGAGTAGATGTTCCCATGTAGTGGAGGTTGCCTGTCCTGAGAGCTGACAGGAGAATGGGTGAACCTGAAAAGTAATCCCACATGCTAACCCAAACCTGCAAGAAGGAATGAAGAGCCCTAAACATTAAGTATATGGATAAACACCACCAACTATGTTTTTACCTCTCTGAAGACTATTGACTATTCCAAACAAAAATAATAACAAATATTATCATAACAATATAATAACAGATATTATTCAATATACTGCATATGTAAAATAAAATATATCACACCAGCATTAAGGCTGGGATGGAGTGCATGAAATAATACTATCGAAACTAGCATTGAATGAAATGAAAATATACTATTTAGATAGTGCATGAAGTAGTGCGACAATAGTACAAGGCTGAATTGCTACTTTAAGGATACATGCTGTAATAGAAGAGAAACTACTTCTAAAGGAGATAAATGGAACACTGAATGGTATAGTGGTTATGGGCACGTGCAAGACCCAGGGTTTGATCCCCAGCACTGCTTTAAAAAGAAGGGGGAGGGGGAAGAAAAGAAAGAGGGGAAGGAAGAGGAAGAGAAAAAAAAAGAGAAAGAGGAGGAGGAGAAAGACAAAGAAGAAATTTGAGTAATACAAAAGATGGCAGGAAAGGAGAAATAAAGGGACAAGCCACAGATGACACAAATAGAAGATGGTGTCTTCAAACCCAATCATTAATAACCACATTAAGTGGAAGTGGTTGATACTATTCCATTGACAGAGTGAATCTACTGCTTACAGGAGATATACTTTAAATATGAGGACAAAGACAGATTGAAAAAAAAGGGTAGTGAAAGATACACCATGGAAGCACTAATGATGGGAAGGCCAATGTGACTATATTAATATGAGAAAAACTAATGCTCAAAACAAGGAGTACTGGGAGAGATAAATGATTCATAAAGAGAACCAATTTATCAAGAAAACACAACAATGCTAATTGTGCATGTACACACTAGCAGTGTTTCAAAATACACTAATCAAAAATCGATAGAACTAAAAATTTTTAAAAAGAAAAACTTTGTAGAAGTAAAATTAAAACAGGTAAACACAAAATGTTTGAAATTTTATTACTCCTTTCTTAGTAATTTTTAGAACAAAAGGTCAACAAAATCAGTCAGACTTGACTTTGGAGAACTTAACATTCAACAATCACAGAACACACATTCTTTTCAAATGTTTGGGAGACATTTATCAAAACAGATTATTGACCATGAAACAATTGTGACCAAATTTTAAAGAACTGTAGTCAGAGAAGGATATACCATGGAATTAAAGTAGAACCCCATTGTTTTTTCTATTTCTTTTATTTTTGCTTCCCCCCTTTATAATTTCCTTTCTTATTTATTTGTTTTGGGGGTTTTATTTGTTTGTTTGTACTGGGGATCAAACTCAGGACCTTGAGCTTGTGAGGCAGGCAGGGTGTCACCGAACTTAGTCCCTGGCCCATATTTATTTGGTTTTAATTGTCATTCTCCTTTCTAACTTCCTAAGGTGGAAGATAAAAGCACTGATTTTAAATCTCTCCTCTTTTCTAATATAAGTACTTAAAGTTACTCTCTCCTCCCAAGCACTACCTTAGCCACATCACATAAGCTTAGATATAGTTTTCATTAGTGATCGGTTAAAAATGTTTTCTTACTTCCTTTGTGATTTCTTTTTTGATCTGTGGATTATTTAAAGGAGATTTTTTAGGTTCCAAGTGTTTTGCAATTTTCCCAATCAACTATATTACAGTCAAAATAGTGATTTCCTTGAGGCAGGAAGGGGAAAGAAATGATGGTGAAGTTATTGATGGAAGAGAAGCAGGGATGGATGTTCATAGAAATATTTCAGACCCTAGGCAGGGTGGTCATGTAAGCAGGAAAATAGTCACTGAATTATAGAATTAAGATTTGTATACTTTCTGTAAATTAGAACTCAGTTTAAAGACCCAAAGGATTAAAATTCAGGTGGGGCACACGCCTCTGTCACAAGTTCAGGGCCAGCCTGGGCGACATAGTGAGATCCTGTCTCAAAAAAACAAAGCCATTGGGCTGGGGATTTAGCTCAGTGGCACCACGTCTGCCTTGCAAGTACATGGTCTTGAGTTCATTCCTGGGTACCGCCAAAAGCAACAACAACAACAACAAAGGGTTAAACAATTCAAGGTGTGACAAATGAAAAAATATCTTAAAATTTAAACCAAACTGGTCATTTTAGGTAATCTATCTACTATTTATTTGAGCTTCCATGATTTGCCAGAATTATATTTTATCTCACTTAGACTTACAAAATTGATGTCTCCATTTTACAGATGAAGAAAGAAAAGCTATCAGAAGTATCTTTCCCAACACCACAGTGGCAGCCTGGATTTCAAACTCAGAGCTGTCTTGTGCTGTGCTGTGCTGAGCTCAGGTCCTCAGCCCTCTCCTGTTGTTTCCCTTCATTGTTTTTTTCCTTGGCAACCATTCTGCTTGTGCCTGTGGCGGTTTTATTTTGTGTATTATGCCACCACTAGTTTTTTTCTCCTCTTTCTTTTATTTTTTTCTTT